TGGATCCTCGTGCATGGAGTTCGAACAGTGTCAACAGGAGGATCGTTGGGTTGATGCTTTTGACGCCGAAAAATTGTTTTTTCATCCCAAATAATTTCTTGATCCTGAATCATTGCTTTTTGATGCGCATCCCCTCTGCGAGCAGAACTTAAGGCTGTAAAACTGTTGCGCCAACAGGTAGCAGATGGCACCAGCTTGTCTTCACCTTTGCTTTGCTTGCTTCGTTTGGCTGCCATAACGCTTTCTTTCCTTTCCGGAACTTGCTTAGAGTGCAACTTGTCCAGGACGCTGGAAGATTCGGACTCCCAAATCCCTTCGTCTTTGAACCAAATATCTTTGGAACCGTTTGTGTCCTCGAAAACTTGTTTGCTCAACCCTTCTTTCTCAAGGCAGAGGGGTCAACAACCGCAAATGAGCTGTGGCCTCAACCCTTTGAACCTTTTGTTCTTATTTGCTGTGCTATCGCGGACGCCAGTTGCAATATTGACGCGCCCAAGTGAATAGCTGACGCATATGCATCTTTTTCAAGCTGTACTGACGCGAACTGTTGCGGCTTGATTTCAGGCTATCAAATCTCATTTCACTGATGCGGCCACAATGGGAACCTTTTTTTGAAGATGCAAGCTGTCGCAAAGACCATCGCCGCGGGAACGTTCAGGTTTTACTGACGCGAACTATCGCGGGCACCATAAAAGCTGACGCGACCAATCACTACTTTCATGTTTCCCAGCTTCATGGAGAGTGGGAGCCAAACATCCTCGACAGCAGCCGAGCGTTGGAGCGCATGCAGAGTCGTCCTGCATGGGAACATGACAGTCCAGCCAGGACAGTGCTGAAGAAGTACACACGAATCTCAGTCGCCTTCGGAATGCAGTAAGCAAGCATTTTCGGCTGGCCTGAACATGAAGGCTGAGCGAGTTGATGTCGACAGTTCGGTCAACAACTCCGATCCTGCGAGCTGGAATCTTAAGAGGAGTGGTGAATAAACAGACATTCTGGAATCCCGCCTACTCCAGTTCTCAATGAAGTCGCTCCAGCTCCTACCAAATTTTCGACAGTTTCTTGCAGCTCCTCTTCACTATCATGCAAAACAGGGGAGCGCACATCCAAAAGGCACCATCGTCGACATCCTCAAACTGCAGCTGCTTCTTGACCTCATGCTACTCATGCTCATAAAATGAAGATCTGGATGGCGAACCCTTCATGTAGCTACATTCAGAGTGGCTGAAGGATGGTCTTGCCAGAGCTTGCTCTTGTCGCTCCAGTCGCCCTTCCACTCTCCTTCACTGCAAGCCCGGCGTGATTCTCATCCTCTCTTGCCCCTCCAGCAAATCTCCTGCTCCCCATGGATTCCTTATCTGAATCATCTTGTAGTCCTCGTCAAATACGCTTCAGCAAGTTGCATGCTCAATAAAGCAACCCTGTTCAAAGCTGTCTTTGCCACCGATGCCCATGAAACCATCATTCACCTTTCTCACCTTGACGGAAACGGCTTACCTTTGACAGTGACAAGACTGTGACCAGTAGCCGGGCCTGAAGAATGCTGTAGGCGTGGCCAGTCACCAAACCATCGGCACCACTAGACCCTGAAGCCGACAGAACACTGCCTGGCTCAAGCAAAAATATCGCTCTGATATCTCTGATGCCATGCTTTTAGCACAGTGAAATCAAAGAGGCACCAACAGATAGATAGCACGTAACACACGACAGGAAAGCCCAAGCTGTGATATTTCCGCAGGATCTCGAACCTCGGAGAGTCCATATCTATTCCCATCCGGCGTACTCGGTGGCGACCAGCCGAGATACATGGTGTCGTTGTCAATCTTCTCATCGCGAGGATACAGACCACACTTGCGCTTGTCGTGTGGGTCATCGAAGTTTTTGAGATCCTAGACTTGACAACAAACGAATGACCTGTTGACTACGTTACAATCAGTCGTGCCAAGACTGCCGGTGGCGCACAGCATGCAACACAAGGTCCTTGCGTTGCCAGTTATCACGACCGTCGCTTCTGTAGAACAGCCGCCTTAATTGAGGTTCATGGGAAAATCGCTGAGAAAGTCCGTGAATTGCAGTCGCGAGGCGCTGGGTCACCTGTCATCGCCCGAATCGCCCAAATTGTCTGACCACCCTGAACAAGACGAGCAGGCACATATGGCGCTGGGCACTGTCGAGCGGTTCAAGCCTCCAACGCAGCATAGCCGCCACAGAACTTGGCAAACGCCTGAAGGAACACGGACCTTCCCTGCTATCAAAGACTGAGCATTTGAGCAGTGGGCGTGTTGTTCTTTGAAACCGACATTGCATTGAAGTGTTCGCGAATGGCAGTGCCATATGTTACAAAAAAAGCTTGCGGACCCCGTGGAGGGGGCTCAGGGAAGGCGCACTGCGCATCTTAAGCAATTTGAAACGTGTGAACCGAGGTGCGACGTGCTTGTGGCACGCCTCCGGCAACTCGACCGGGGCTGCACGGACTTGATGGTGGTGGGCAGCATCATGGGAAGTCCCCCAAGCTTTTTTCTTGCCCATGCACGTCGCACACTGCTTCGTAGGACCCATGAGAATAAGATGATGGCCTTATGAACATTTTCTGATGGATGCATGCAGTTTCGGCAAGATGTGAAGGTGATGATGAAGTAAAGGTTTATGAGTTTTCGCTGCCTCCTCGTGTTGGGCTTTGATTATTCAAGCGGAGCGAATCTTCTCCCAGACAGGAGAAATACGGGCATTATGCAGCGAACTCCTTGTCACAAACGGAATGATAACAAGGCAGGAACAGAATCATGCATGAGAATGTCAGAACATGGAACCCCCGGAGACACACCAAGAAATGAACAAACACAGAGAAGAGAGGCCAGCCAGCGCATAAGCAATCTTATGAACCCTTGCTTTGTTGCTTGCCTACGAACACGAGCAGCAGCTGGCAACTCAGCAACAGCGAGAAGATCCGAGAGGGCATGGATCTGATTGCGCGCATGCTGACACAAATCCTGTCAAGGAACTTAGCTCGAAACCTCAAAAGCACCTCCCTGCAGCCTAAACCCTGGACACTACAGCCTAGGCGCTACGCCCCGATACCCAAATCCCAATTAAATTTGTCTGTCTGAGGCATGGTTCACAGGCTGCAGAGGGTCATGGAATTGGTTGGGTTGTGGCCACTCTTCTCTTGGGGGCTTCGAAAGCAAGACCACGGAGCATGCTAACTGTCCTTCTCCATGAGCATCACGTAGAGCTCGTCTTTGTTGGGCTTGCTGAAGAGAGGCTTGCAGGAGCCATCCCGTTCATAACTTGCCTGCCACGGGCACCAACTGGCAGCTTATGCCCTTTATGATGATTGCGCCTTATTGCACGGAATGTGATCATCGATGATGATGATCTCCCACTTCTCCTGGCCGATAAGTGAGGTCTATGCATTTGAAAGCATCATGGGGTCATACTGGGTCATAGGGCAACACCGGCAGTGTACAAATTCATATGTAGAGCTGTTCTGCATTTAGGCCGGGCTGTTTTTCCTTTGGCTTTCCTCAGTAGGCCTGCTCTGCAAAAGGAACTGAATTCTTTGAAGCTGATCCTTGCCTCGACACTGGCACAATCAGGCAGTCCTTCGCACCGTCGAAGAGTCGGAGCACATACTTCCCGCGAGGATTGATCTCCTTCGTCCTGGCAAAAACATGCTGTGCAAGCGAGTCTGGCACGCAGATTTGCGTACAAGCTTATGCCATCTTGCTGATAGTCCACACGCGCCTAAAGACGGCCTGAATTGCGCCCTTGTGCTCAGCCAGACAAGCAATAGCTGCCAATAGCCAACAGTCTCCAAGGGCACCTGAGAGTGCTTGGGTGATCAAGTGCAGTTATGAAAGCGCCGCTTCACTGCACTCTGCCTTGACAAATGTCTCGGCTGTCAACTTCCTCACCTCAGGAAATGCCCACAACGACTCTCAACTCTCAAGCAAATCGTTTTAGGCGACCACTGAACAATTGCATGCGCCGCTGGCGACCCTTGCAGGGAGAAGACTCAGGGTTCACACAAGCGACCCACAGGCCCTGCGACAACAAAATAGCTGACATCACTGCAAACCTTGAAGGCGGCAGCATCCATATACAAACGTTCAGCACAACACAGCCCCACGCCCAGATGCCTTTTTGTCTTTGGGCAGTGGAAACTTCCCACCCCTGGCCGCAATGCAAGAATGGCGGTCAGGCTGTTGTTCAGGTTGTCATGCCGAAGGTGTCCAAAAACAAAATGCACGGCAGAACATGCGAGAACAAATTTATCTCATAGCTCTAACACAGAGATTTTGAAGCTTCTGGTCAGGCCATGCCTAATCCACTTCACTTGCCCAGCAAACTTCTTGCCTGCCGATTCTTAGGCCATCATTTGGTTCATGTGCGCCCAACGAGATCACATCCTTCTTCTCTGTCACCAGCTGCGCTGTCTCCTTTGACATCCCCCAGCGAAACATCCTCTGGAGGAAATGCCTGCAATGCGCAGCGACGCTGCATCAGCATAGGGGACAAGGGTAAACGAAGTTAAATTACATGGAGTCCTTGTCCGTGTACATCCAGCAGCAATTGAAAGCTCTGCATAAGCAGCAGCAAAATTTGTACAAGCCGCGGTTGAGATAAACACGGATGCAGCCGCAGCCTCAAAGCAGCAGAAACAGGGACTAGACCATTGCCTGCTGCCGTACCGCTTCTAAACAGCGCTGGGCCGCGGGCAGTAGATGCTCGTTGCCCATATGCACAAGACGCAGGGGCAACACACCACGTTGTAAAATCTGCACCTCGTCTTGTCTTGTTTTGTATGGTTGCAAACATATTGCGACTGCGGACTAAGTGGAACACGCGCGGCCGGTTAGAAGCTTTGACCAGCAGCAGCATGCATCCTGACACGGCTGCGCAGCTGTCGATCACCAAAAGAGAGCCAGGTGATGAACTTAATATGGCAAATGATCACAAATAGACACCACCTTGAAGTTGATCGACATGTGGCTCGCTCACCAGTTTCTCGTCTATGCAAGTGAAGTGGGTCAATGCGCTGTGAATTCTGCGCGTAGCTCTGCTTGGCTATCTAACCTGCTGATGTTCTGCTTCCACTTGCTGCAGAAACAAAGTCACAATGTTACGGCACGGCACCGATCAGAAATGGCTTCGAGAAAGTCGTTTGCACAGGCCAAACACTCAAGCAGTCCTTCAACTGCCTTTTCGCCGTCGTGCCGCAAGTCCGGAGATGCAATCTTTGAGCATCTCAGCAGAGGCGACACAAAGGGATAGGCCCCAAACAAGCCCAAGTGGCGACGTTGCGCACACATTAACTCACAAGCATTAACCGGGACTACACACGAGCTAAGGTGACAGAGGGCCTCTTTATGAAAGAAGCCGTGCCAATGTCGGAAGGCAAGCTTCACTTAGAGATGCAAGCCTCCAAACTAAGGTGTTGACGCTCCTCATAATGAAGAGACTTGGAATTCGAAGCCACGCTCGCAAAATGTCAATGCTGCAAAGTCCAAGACGCTCCAACTATCAGCTCAGTCCGTGAATAACCGAAGTCTGCCTTTGCACAACGGAAAGGTACTGGCCGCAAAGGCTGCCTAAGCGCTCTGGAAATGTGGTGGCCCTTCTTCTTAGCATGAAAATTGTGCTGCGCAATTGCAAGTGCCACACAAGCCAGAGCCTGGGTCATGACGAACTTCCAGCTCAAGACTCTCCTCCTGAACGACTTTTGAAGACATGGAGTTGTGTGAACATAAGTGTCCCGGCTCCTCCACTAGGGGGCCCCTGGAGTCAAACAGCGCAAATGTGTCCTCGGATTGCATGCGGGTCCCAACAAACCCACCAACTACATGCGTCTGAGTTCAGAACCATTTTGCTGCAGATTTTGCTCCATGTGCGCTTCACCTTGCAGCGTCAACAGTTTAGGAATTCTTGCGGATTGGCTACTGACTGGCCTTGAGCTCTTTCTTCAACCGGGTCTTTTTCCAAAGCGCGGGCTCTGTCTCCTAGGCCAGTATATGCTTCACAGAACTGATGCGGACCGAGCACACTGAGGGACAGGCAGACCGTGGTCTGAGCGGCGCATCTTCGACATCGACGAAACGGACAGATGGCCTCGCAGGATCTGTTCTTGCCACCGATGCTTCGGACCTGAGGGTAAGACATGCTGAAGAGCTGACACAGACAATACGGACGCGTCACATACGTCACATACTTGGGAGACGGCAGTTCGTCAGTCTTGGCTCTTACTCTCATACCACGAACCTGTACGGGCAGGATAGATTCGCAAGTGCAAGCTGAGCAAGCTACAGGCCTCTTCCCGGTGACGAATCGGTGACCTTACGGCAAGACAAAGTCGCTGCATGTTAAGTTTGAAGCCAGAGCAGCTCAATGCTATCCTAAGGTTCAAGAGTTGTGGCCACTGTAATTCGAGCTTATCTGTCTTGCATGTTTACGGGCGCGAATATACCTCTCAAGTGATCTTGGCATTGCATCGCTACTCTGCACCAAGTTGCCACGTACCGTTTTGAAGGTCAACACATCTTTTTTTGTTTTGTTGTGTTGTTTGTTATTTAGTTAACTGGTTGGCTCGCTAGATGGTTGGTCGTGACGCTGCTAACACCTGCTACATCTAGGATTACAGGCAGAACCCTTGCAAGAACGCAGGACTCTGTTTTCCAACCAGCATACTCGTACGCTGGGTCGTGACAATGTGCAACACAAGGCAACATCGTCGGGATCTAGGATCCAGAAGGTACAGAGACCCACTGTTTCAACACAGAGGCCCCAACGTTTCTTCGGCAGACTCAAGGAGGGCTGCCTGCACACGCTCTCGATAAGCCCCTGGCGGGTACGAGAACTCCTGAAGCAGCCAGCCTTGCTGAGCACTCCATTCATCAAGCAAGCCGAGACGGCTTAGGCCATCCGATGGGTTACTATCCGAGTCCACCCACTCCCACCAGACTCATGTCTGGAAGCGGCAACGTAGCACTGCGGAGAGGTGTACGATTTCGTGGACGTCAGCTTCCCGACTGGTGCCTTTGACCAGAGCCGAGGCAGCTGAAACATTATCTATGAACCATAATATATCCCTATGAAGGAACCGACCGGGGTGTAACAGCAAAACCACTAGGGGAGCGAGGGCTTCACCGGGGAAGATTTGCTGAACACGGGGCTTCCAGGAAAGGAGAACCTCAGGCGGGACTAAACAGGAACCTCCAAAGGGGCGGGATGCATCTGCTGGAAACACAATCCAGCCCAAGCGCAGCTGGGAGTCTTCGAATGATGCGTCCGTATACACACGGTCAACTGGCTTGGACACCGGATGCACAAAGAACTCTCGAGGAGGAGCTGACTGCACCATGGCCAAAAGGGCGCGCAGGGTTGCAACAGCTGTAACATCCAACGGAGACTCGTTGGCCTGCTGCTCTGCCAAAAGTGGCGCGGCATACCTAGCGCCGTAGCCTGAAGTTGCTGAGAACAACCAAAGGAGGTCACCTCTGAGCTTGCCCGCCATGTCCCTGGAAAGTGTGCCTGACGAGATGGCCAGCTTAAGACGGTTACAGACCTTCAGAACTGTAGCGTGCTTAGGCTGGACAAAGACCCGACCCTCCTGAAGAAAACCCCCTAGGTGAACGGAAGTACCTAGGTAAGCCCTATCAGGTGCGGGGGAAAACCCTTAGACGGCTGGGGCGGGGCACCAAAGCCCTGAACTGAAAAGCACAGATGCTCGTCTTTCACTGGGTGGCCTCGATAAGCATCAGGCAAGTCATCCGTGGCCAAGCGAAAACGCAACCACGATGACTCCTCAACAGGAGGGCGCTCCTGCTGCGGCAGGCACTCGCAAACTTGACGAGCAGCTGCAGCGATGAACTCAATATTCACGGTGTGAATTGTTTCAGCCATGGCTGTATGGCGATTATGCCCTGTGGAGCGTGCATTATCAATGACACGTCGCTTGCCATCAGCTTGCTCAATCAGAAAGCGCTCCAAGGGCCGCCAACCCCCGATCCCATACTGCGCGTCGAGGTCACGCTTGGTAAGCCAAGGGCTACAAAAGCCTTTTGCCTGTTCAGCTTCTGTCACCTGCTGAATCTCAGCAGCGTCCCTCGGTGGACTGCTTTCCATGATGCGCTGGACAGCCGTAGCGGCATCCTCCTGAAGCCAGCTGTCGGTATCAGGGTCTTTATCGGCCTGCGCAGGCACGAGCCTAAAGAGGCCTGAGGAGGGGATCTCCCCCACAATCGGGAAGCCCAAAATCATCTCTTGTGCCTGCCACACGTCCGGCCAACGCAACAATGTCGTAAAACACGAAATTGCTGCAGCATCCTTTGACGCAGCAACAGAGCGCTGCAACAGCGCAACTGGGCTAGCCTTGCTTGGAGCGGCTGCACAGCCTGAACGATTGTCTGAAAGACCCGTCGTTGGCGCTGCGCCAGGATCGGCAGGAACTCACGCCATGCGCCAATAGTGTGGGCCACAAAGGCCACATCTGCATCTGGCCATGTGCGCGGCGCAAAGGGAGAGGGCAAAGCAGCAGAGGCCTGGACATGGCCGTGCTTACCCAGTCCAGGCAGCAACAAGTGATCGAGGCCCTTTGCGCTTTCGGAGCTATAGCGCTGGCCTGTCACACCGGCATAGATCAATGCTCTTTCTTGCGTGCCAATAGGAGTGGGCGGCAAGGGTGGCCAGATGCAAGCTGAGAGGCCGCAAACGCCTGCATGAGGGGGAGATCACAAGCTGCCAAACGAGAACCAACCTGTTTCCACAAAGACGGTGGCACATCAAAACAGCTGAGCTGGGCTTGCACACCTGCTACCACATGGCCTGCCTGCAACGTGGATGGCATAGCCTGAAGGCGCCCTGGCTCCCACACAGTCTGCTGCACACGGGTGAGGATGGCAGACTCGACAGGGCAGGGCATAGAAACCAACCTGGACTGGCAGAGTACAGGCAAGAAGGCCAGCACACACAACACACTTGGAAGGAAGCCATTACCCAACAAGCTATTGCGCTTCTGCTCTCGCTGAGCAGCTAAGCCAGTAACAGCCGCAGTAGCAGACGGCGGGACCCCTAACATCTGGGCGCGCTCAGCAGGGCTTGGCACACGCCAATCAGTGCCCCGCCACCTTCGTACGCAGCCGCCGGAAAACGGCAAGAGTCTTCCTGCCAACAAGCCACAGCTTGAGCAGAGACCCCAGACGTAGAGTCAGGTGGATGAAAGAACTCACGCGTGAAGGGAAACATAGCCTGAACCCGGCCCTGCGTCACAGCCTGCGCGTCATTGACAATGGCAAATCCCTGCTCACAATGGATCTTGGCTGGAATGGGCTTGGCACCGCTATAACGCAAACGAGGGACAGCCTCAACAGAGGATTGCTCCCACTGCCAATCTGGCGGGGGTGAACCGCACGCAGGGCGCAAGCCTTGTGCACGGCCGGCCAGCCAATAAAGGCGGTCACGTTGGACCCAGCCGCAGTCCGCAGCACTTAGGCGAACCGGAGGCGTGCCCATCCATGACGTGTATTGCTCACGTACTTCTACGGGGCAGCTGCCCACATTTTCCAGAAACGCGATGACATCACACGAAGCCATAAGTTCATGGTCTCGCAAGGCTTGGACCAAATTGGCAAGGAGCAGAGGCTGGTTCGAGCGCGGATCGGCCAAACCACGCCGGCGCTTATTTAGTGCGCTGTTCCCCTGACAGGGAGAACCACCGCCCACTAAGATGCCGCGAATGTTCCTGCGCTTGAGGAACGGGACCAGCATCTGCACACACAGGTCTTCAACCCGAGGGATGTGCACCACGCTTGGCATGACGCGGCGCAAGCACTCAACGGCTGTGGGATCCATTTCTGCCGACACTGCATGGAAATGCATGCCCAATGATACACAGGCTAACAGCAGACCGCCATATCCCGACCAGCAGTCCAAGATAAGCCACTTCCCAGGAACTTGCGGAGCCCATGACGCTTGCAGTATGTTGCCAGAGCCA